CCTTCCTGTAACAACTTAAAGTAATAAAAAAAGCTGCGGTTTGCCAACCTGCCTGCCAAAATCTCAGCAATGAGACAATCTTTGGGGGGAAGCCTATATTCTGTAATGGACTTATATATAGGCTGTTAAGAAGTTAAGAATCGAAGTGTAGGGTGGCCCCATTAGATGGAGTGACGACCTGGTAAGCGATACAGGAAGTCGATGGATGTAGGTTTTTTTTAAAGGATAGGGTGACAATCGAGCACACAGTCCACCTGATGGTAAGTGGTTGCTGTGGCCCATAGACATCTACATCTATCCTCGATTACGAATCAAAATGCAGATGTGTTGTCACCCGTGAGGACTAAGATGGAATGCCTCGTTTCCAGTAAAATGGGTCGCCGGTTCTCTACACTCACCATACGAAATACAGCAGAATTAAGCTACTATTTCACGCTGGTATTCTGTGAGAGCGTGGTCCTTCCCCGGTCGAGCCGACCCATTCGTGCTACAACTATACATCTAATATAACTGCAGCATGGCTCTACCACGTATATAGGTGGTTCAGGACCTTGCTTTGTGGCGTTCCTTGAGGGAGCCCATGTTCACCAGTCGAAGGCTGTAATGATGATGATGTGATGAATATATGCCGTGTATTCGGTTTAAAGTTTCACGAACATGCAGTAATATTTTAACCGATTCCGTAAAAGAAGGAAAATTAGATAGTGTTTCTTTTTAATATATGTAACAATCTCCGAAGTTAGTCAATCTATTTGTTTTTACGTGCAGTCTGTATTTACAGTCTACAGCTGTTTTTTTTGTTGCCAACTGACGACAACTGAAGTCGGTTTATGTTTTTGTAAATAATTTATTATTTGGCATCTATAAATGGCTACTGGGAGCATAAGAAACCAAGCAAAAGGAAAACAAAGAAGAAAACGACGTGTGCTCATTAATAACTGCATTTCCAGCAAGATTGTAGCGTTCCGTATGATTGACGGTGCTCCAGCGCAAGATTATCTTGATTCTTTTTCTTTTGCCTTTTTTCAATACTAGACATAACAGCTGTCACGTCACTAGGCGTGACAGCTGTTATGTTTACTGAAACATCTTTAAATAGTTTCTTATATTCATCTTGTTGGGCAGACTTGTTAGTGTGTAGTGTAGTGTAGTGTAGTGTAGTGTGTGTAGACCCTTGTACCGATAATGGTTATCATATTTTAGACAATTTACGATACGGCCGACGTATCTTGGCGAGTCCGACCTTCGCGCAGAAGGTTGCGCAATAGCTTTTTTAAGGAACAAAATGGTGGCATGAGGCGACGTACGGGGGGCGGTGGTCTAGGCTAGAGATTGACCATAAGTAAACACAATCGACCCTTTAGTCATAAAATATCGCAATCGATTAGTTTTATTTAGAAGTTATTGATTTTTGTTTATATAAGATATTAAACGAAATAGATTTACAAATATAGTGAATTTTGTTGATAATAAACAAGATTTCGACTTAAATAAAAAAAAAACTAAAAACATATTATTTTCTCAGCTGAAAGACATAATGTACTTAAATATCAATTATCTATTAACGTCTTCTTGAGTAACGACTATTTGAGAAAATTTAGAACCTCCTTATAAATTGCAAATAAATATATTTTTATGTCTTAATTTTAATCGATTTGAATAAAAATCGATTAAACAACACCCTCAGGCACGCGTGTTGGACATCCCTTTCTGGTTACTTCGTAAAGCTTCGTGCTTATTCGGCAATGCTCGGTACACGGTAATATTTCTCAGTCACACGTTAGCATTGGTGTCGTGTTCGTGTCGCTATCTCTGTCTTGAGCACAGTCGGTTACAAAAGTTTTCGTTGTTATTGTTGTTTGTTTTTATTAATAGTGTTAAGTTTGTTTTGTTTGTTTTATTTGTTTTATTTGCAAGTGTCAGTTAGCACTTATATTATTCGCCAAACATGCCACCAAAACATAACAGTGTGTTAAATCGCCAGGCGAGAAAAATTATTTACGATTTAACGCAATATATGAAAAAAGAAAAAGAAGAAGGCGTAAAAGATGTCGATAAAGTTTATTTAAGAGTTGCTAACGCAACTGGTGTGTCCCAACGCACAGTACAGCGGATCGCAACTGAAGGCAATATTTCGGGCTTACTTTCAGTATTCCGCACGCCTGGTAAAAAAAGGTCTAGATCAAAACCTATTACTGATATGGATAATTTTGACCAGGGAGTAGTAAAAAGATGCATACACAACTTCCACAAAACTGAAAAAGAAATGCCGACGATAAACAAATTACTAGCGAAACTCAAACGGGATATAAATTTTCAAGGTGGTAAAACGAGCTTAAAGACAATTATCAAAAACTTGGGTTTCAAGTGGCGAAAGACCGAAACCAATAGAATGGTTCTTATAGAGAAGACCGACATTCGCCTGAAAAGGATCTTGTACTTGAAGGCAATGAAAAAATACAGGGACGAAGGGCGACCAATTGTATTCACTGACGAGTCGTATGCCCACTCATCACATACAAAAGGTAAGGCGTGGTCAGATGGTTCCGCTCAAGGACTAAAGCGCCCGATATCAAAAGGTCAGCGGATAGTGATGGTACACGCTGGGTCAGAAGCAGGGTTTGTTCCGAACGCGCTACTAATGTTCAAATCTGGCAGCAAAACCGGAGACTATCATGATGACATGAATTTCAAAAATTATGAGAAATGGTTACGGACCCAACTGATTCCAAATTTGAGCCCTAACTCGGTGGTGGTTATCGATAATGCTCCGTACCACAACAAATTAATGGATCCTGCCCCTACATCTAATGACAAGAAGGCAAAAATGGAATCGTGGTTATTAGAAAAGGGTATACCATATGAAAAGGACATGCGTAAACCACAACTTTACGATCTAATAAAAAAAAAACAAAGACGTGAATAAAAAATACGTAATAGATGAAATGTTTAAACAAAACAACCACGATGTCCTTCGTTTACCCCCATATCATCCCGATTTAAACCCCATCGAGATGGTGTGGGCTGCCATTAAAGGGCACGTAGCCGCTAAAAACGTCGACTGGAACGTAACCCGGACAATCGAGCTCATACAAGAAAAAGTAAATTTAATGGGTCAGAATGAATGGAGTGCTTTATGCAGAAAAGTGCAAGAGGTCGAACATGACTATAGGAAGAGCGACCATATTATTGACGAAATGACGGATCAATTATTCATCATTAATACAGCTTCAGATTCAGAAAGTGAGTCTGAAAGTGAGAGCGACGATTACGAAGATGAACCTATGCCAAGTACCTCACATGGTACACAAGGGGCCGACGACTTTATGTTAGGAATTTCCCCCCTCAGCGACAGTGATTAAATAATAATAAGTGTAAATAAATAAAAAGTATTAAATGTAAATAATATTGTATGTGTTTGTGATAAAATCTGCCCCTATCGAAAGGTGAGGTATCAAAATTGAATCTTTAATTTATAATGTCTCCAAAGTGTTTTGATATTTTTGGTCACTGTATTAGGGAAATTTTATTTGTACATTGGTATATATAAAAAAATGACAATAACAGTTTTCTTCACGAGTGTTCATGCGCTAAACTTCGCAGAGCCTATATTCAGACTCGCCAAGATACGTCGGCCGTATAGTACGCAACTCAAACACATTAATTTTTTCTTTTTATTTAGGACAATAAACAACCATACTAATCCTACACCTTTAAACGATCAATTCTTGTATATACATATACCTATATATAATCGGAATCTCGGAAACGGCTCCAACGATTTTCATAAAATTTAGTGTCCAGGGAGTTTCGGGGGCAATAAATCGATCTAGCTAGGATTTATTTTTAGAAAATGTCTTTTTGTCTGTGTTTTCAGGCAATGAAAAACTGCTACAATATAAGTGGGTAAAATTTGACACTGTTAATGATCGCAATAGCTCAAGTGGATATCGAGCGGTCGCGAAATCGTAATGCCTTGGTTCGCGTCCTGTCTTCGGTCCGATTTTTTTTCCTTTTTTTTCAAGTTCCCTTTCTTTTGTCAGAAAATCTACTATTTCGAGCCCTTTTTTAGTATTTGTTACAAATACGAAAATTTTAATTAAACTAATTGCATTCATGATTTTTTATTCAAATAACCATTTCATTTTTTTATTATGTCAATAAGATCAAAAAATATTATTCATCAGTATGTAATTTGTATGTAAATGTAATTTCAAAAAAAAAAAACCGAGCAGAGCTCGGTCATCCGGGTACTAGCTTACTTTATAAATTAAGCAATTAAATTACTTATCTAGTATACATATAATAAATCCATAGAAAAGTCGTGTCTGTTATTCTAATATTTCCTGGAAAAACAAGTCCATGGGACTAAATAAAGGATACTGAATCCAAATTACTGGTTTTTAGAATTTTTTGCTGTCTGTCTAACTTTCTATCATCTACGTCCAATGGTTCTTGAGAATTCAAAAAAATTCTTTAACAAATAGACACAGTATCAGGGTGACTCTGATAGTGATCGAATTTTGTTAAATATGGCACGGAACAACATTTATTAATGTTGCTAAATGAAAGCCCACGCGAGCGAAGCCGCGGGTAAAAAGCTAGTATAGTATAAACAGCTTCGTTGTCCACGAATGAGCTGCTACTTAACAGGTGTACACAAACCACCAAAAATGAAAAGATAACAAACTAGAAAACTAAGTAAATATGAAAATAAAAGGTAGCATAACACCATATTAAAATAAAATTAAAGTTACTGTCTATATACGTCCCACTGCTGGGCTCAGGCCACAGAGGGGTTTAAAGAAGTGTCCACGTGTTGGCAGACTTCATATCTTTTTTTATTTCTCAGACATGCAGCATTTCATCACGATGTTTTCCTTCACCGCTGAGCACGTATTTAAATTGCAAATAACAATTTCATTGCCGGCGGTGTTCGAACCAGTTAACTTCCTTATTATTTTAAATTCAGCAAAAAGGAAACGACGTTTTAAATGTACCTGTATAGTAGTTCTGGCATCATGGCAATGCAGTTCCACTTGAGCTCCTCGGGGGCCAGCTTTTTCATCTTAGAGAACGACTGATAGTGCATCTGGCGCAACTCCCCACCCCACTTCCACGCGCGAGCACTGTAATCGTAGATGCCGCCTATCCAACGGCTCGCCTTCTCTGTAAAACATTCGTAATTTTTTGTATAGAGTTATGGCAACAAACTGTGTTTTTTTAATAGAATAAGGGTAACAACGAGCACACAGTCCACCTGATGTTAAGTGGATGCTGTGGCCTACAGACATCTATATTTATTCTCGATTAAGAATCAAAACGCAAATCCGTTGTCACCCCTGAGGACTTAGATGAAAGCCTCGTTTCTAGTAAAAAAGGGTCTCCTGATCTCTACACTCACCATACGAAACTTAGCAGCACAACGGTATTCTGTGAGAGCTAGGTCCTTCTCCGGTCGAGCCGACGATAATACCACATAATATAGCTGCAGCACAGAGCTGCAGCGTGGATCTACCACGTCAATTTGAAAGCACTGTTTCTTTAATTAAATTATAAGGTAAAGTTAGAACATATAGGCTCTAACTTACACGACACCTTCAAAGACCTCTAAAAGTTATTATAATATATATTTTTAAGGTTTTTAGTATTAGTATTAATTGTAAATATTATAATTTAATTTCATTAATTATACTTTTTAACGTATATAGATTATCAGTTGCACCATAACCCAGTAGTTTGCTATGGGCCGATCTAGTGCGTAGTGGCGAACTTTATTTTTTTTTTACATTTTTTCCACTTGCAAGAAACGAGCTTACTGCTTTCTAAGGCCGGCAATAAACCTGCAGTTCACCTGGTGTTGCATTTGTTTATGGGCAGCGGTCCACACTTTCCATCAGGTGAGCCGCGTGCTCGTTTTCCCTCTTCTATAAAAATACATATTTAATATTGTATGTTTATTATAATATTTTACGCGCTGATTCACCACGTAATGTTGAACGACAACTTTCTAAGGAAACTTGCATACCTAGGAAATCAAATACATACAAGTCAACGTATTAAGTATGTATACCACGTATTTACCACGTATTTATACGTGGTAGAGCCATGCTGCAGTTATATTAGTAGTATAGTTGTAGCACGAGTGGGTCGGCTCGACCGGGGAAGGACCACGCTCTCACAGAATACCAGCGTGAAATAGTAGCTTAATGCTGCTGTATTTCGTATGTTGAGTGTAGAGAACCGGAGACCCTTTTTACTGGAAACGAGGCATTCCATCTCAGTCCTCACGGGTGACAACGCATCTGCATTTTGATTTTTAATGGAGGATAGATGTAGATGTCTATGGGCCGCAGCAACCACTTACCATCAGGTGGACTGTGTGCTCGTTTGTCACCCTATTCTATAAAAAAAAATGTAGTAAGTAAAGTAAATTATTATTAATTTCAAGTCATCCCTCTATCGATCAATTACAGTCAATAAAAGTCCACTGGCAAGATAGGCCTCTCCCATAGATGGTATCGTAAGGAGGATTCAGCCATGGTGTCCACGCTTTGTAGGCGGGTTGGAAAACGTAGTTTTTATTATTTTAGTTGTTATCAGGAAGATGCTGCTGCCCATCTGACCCATCTCCTGTTTCAATTTACCTCTGTTACCTCTTATGACACCCATGGGACGATATGGGGTAGTGGATATACGATTGCGATAAAAAGTATACTGAGTATCAACTTAAAAATCCGATACCACTGGTGCTGTACAACGAACACTTCTCGCTTATATACCTTCTTTATAATGAGAGTAGTCCAATGCCCGACGGTCGGACGTTAAGAGGCTAATAATAACAAGTTACTTTACTAACCAACATCGTGTTTGTTGAGGTAGTTGCGGAGATTTCTGTCCTCCCATCGAGCTGGCACCGACAAGTTGCTGTCTCGATCCTGTTAACAAGAAGATGTTAATTAAATTAGACTTTCGCTAGACGTCGACTTATAAATATTTTATAAGTACAATGTAAAAAGTGAATAAATAGTAGTGCTTTTTTCGTTCCTATTTTATTAGGACGTCGAACACCATTTTCCCCTCGTTACCATAGTTGCTATAAATTACTCGAAAGTTCGGAAATATAAAATAAGTTATTATTCGCGTTAAAGACAATAATTTCACTTATGGGGATATAGTAAGTCAGCTCAAATTCTAATTTCGCCCCCACTTTTCCGCGCGTCGTATGCTATGTACCGACATCTTTGTAATCACTGTCGCATAGACTAACAGCACTAACATCTAGATAATAGTCAATACTGTAAGTAGACAGGTCGTCAGATACTTATTTCATTAGGTTTATCATATTTATGCCTGTTTCTTAACGCCAAGTCAGTCACTTCTTATTTTTATTACGGTTATTTCCCATTTTAATTTTACGTCGTCCTGTTGCGTAATGTATATTCTGATCGTAAGCGACACAACCTCCCCGTTCAAAGGCCGAAGCGAAGTGACCGAGCGACAGGAACAGTGTTGCCAAGTCTGAAATCTAGCGGACGGTAGAATTCTTCTAAAAATACGGTAGAATTTTCGAAATTATGTTGTAATATATATTTGAAATACGGTAGAATTACCTTGTTTATTTAGTAGCATGTTATGGGTCAGAGTTAAAAAAAAAACATATTTTTAATCAGAATCGGACAGTATAATTGTTTCAATATTTTTATACATATCATTGTTATGTTTTGCGATCATAGCGTGAGTGGGATTAAAATCAACACAGTTTTTTCCGTGACGCTGTATGGCTTGCTGCGATAAGAGATTTCCCTTGATGGATTTCGTTAGGAGTTTATTCCGTTTTTTTGTTTTTATATCGTTAACTCTGCTGAAGACTCTTTCGCACTCAGCATTCGAGTGTGGCAGAGACAAAATGGCCAACATAAATTTTGGCAAGTGTTGGAAATAGGTATTCCCTTCTCGATGTTGGTCACGCAGTTCTGCGACCTGAAAAAAAAAATGATTAGGCTGCTATAACAATAGAAACCAATATGAATTCACGTTGCTTCGAGTTTACATGGAAACTTACCTGGTGCCAAAATACGTCAGGGGGTTGACTTAAATCCAAATCTTTGTAGTATAACGGCAACTTCCGCCACTCATCATCTAGTTCTTGTTGATGTTGGATTGAAGTTGGGGCAATTCTGGGCAGTAATGGAAATAACGACGAAACTGACTCTTCCCTGTCATCAGAAATTACTTTCTCTAGATCAAATTTTGCTATTTCTGTCATAATTTTGTCATTAAAACAGTATCGTTTACGAAGGCCCACACAAGCTCTAATAATAAAATTTTTACACATCTTTCTGAGAGTTAACTTTCTTTCTTCATTTTCAACAGAATCTAGTTCTTTCTGGACACCTAAACCTAGATATATGTCTTTTAGGTCCTTGTGATTTATTTCTGTCATTGGATCTATAGTTTCAATAGGAGCGGAATTTACATAATTTCTGTGTAAAACCAATAGTAACAGTTCTTTATAAAAAGCTGTCATTTTCCCATGTAGTTTCGTAATTAAAATAGATTCGCTCTGAAAACAGCTATTTAATGTTGTAAATTTTGGCAACATCCAAGCCAAAAAATAGTAATAAGCCTTGATTATGGGATCATTCAGGCATGCATGAATATCGTGGCACTCCGATTCTTCCAGCCATTTGCTATTGAAATAAAGACGTAATACATCCCATTGTTCCAGAATCCTTTGCACTACTGCATTTAAAGACAACCATCTAGTCTGGGCTGGTCTTAGAATTTTGTGCACATCCGCCTCAGCAAAATACTGGAACTCTTTCAACTCACTCTGCCTTTTACTACTGGATTTAAAATAATTATAAATATTTCGCGCCATTTTTTCACAATTTAGTGGAAGCTCTTTACATGCGTCACTAGCGCAAAGATGCAGAGAATGGCAAATGCATTTGATCACAATTATGCCTGGACAACGTTGACGAAATCGACTTGAAACTGAATTGTTACATCCCATCATTGTGTTGCATCCATCAGAGCCGAAACCTATGATGTTTTCCGTAGGAATCTCATACTTTTGAAATGAACCTATAACAGTATTAAAAAGTTTTTCGGCATTTGCAACATGATCGGTGGTTTTCTCATCAAATAATTGAATCAAATTCCAAAACCGAGTGATAACTTTACCAATCATTGGATCAAAATACCTGACCACTACAGCTACTGTTTTTACTACAGCAATATCTGTGCTTTCGTCTATCAAAATTGAAAACATTTGTGATTTCAAGTCACTGATCAAGTTTTCTTTTTCAGTTTCCCCAATACAGTTATTTATCACAGCTTGAACTTTAGTTCTTTTTAATCTAATATCTTTGGCTATCTGAGAATCTGGGAACAACTTTGGTAACAAATCTGCTAAGTGATTCATGACATTATGAGATACCTTATGCTCAGCAACAAAAGCAGCTAATTTTATTTCTGAAGTCTTTACCAATTGCTTTTCATTAGTTGGCATGGATTTAAAAACGCTTACTATAGACTGTTGTTTTTTGGACGTTGAAGCACTACACCTCTTTAAATTATTCACGTGTTTAGTTCCTTCTTTGTGGCGTTTTATTACACTTATTTCGGCACTGAAAGATGTATTGCAAACATTGCAGACCGCCTTCGATAAGTCCCTATTATCCTTTCTTAGCCAGTCACTATATTCTTTATTCAGCAACCATTCTTCCCGAAACTTCTGCTTATAACGCTTTCTCTTAGCCGGTACTCGTGTTAAGCTATCTTCTCGATCAGTAGCGCTGTCGCCATCACTCTCCATATTTTTAAACACTCAGATCACACACAACACAACACAACACAACAAACTCTTACGTAATTTTAAGTATTAATGAAATGTTAGTCGTATCTCGTTTATGATACAAATAAACTAGGAAAATTAAAAAGCTCTAAGTATTCATTGAAATTCAAATACATACAGCACCCCCGAATTCGTTCGCATAATATCTCCAAGCTGGTACCACGCTATTGGGGGATTTCCCGACGCATAAAACAGTGTTGTCGGTAGAATAAAAGGAAAATACTGTAACGTAAAGAAAGTAAACAATCAAACTCGCTAAAATTATTTTAGTTTATAGATAATCATATTTAGATACGATCTTCATTGGGTATTACGGTGTATTTTGCTACCGTAATTATAATCCTACGGTAGGTGGTAGATCTATGCTGATTACGGTGTTTTTACCGTAATTACGGTGCAGTTGGCAACACTGGACAGGAATCAAGCTCAAGACACCGATAGTTTAGGTAATTTCTTTTTACAGTGAAAATAATGGTATTTTAAAAAAAGTAAATAACAAAAGCACTACTTTATAGATAGTTCAGCTAGTATGCAAAGTTTCATGATCTATTTAAAGTATTTTATGAATAATAGCGGTTTATTGTTTAGTTTGGAGGTAACTTTGGATTTTGATTTGTAGAAATTAGTGTTTTCCTCTAACAGATAATCCTTAACATTAATCCTCAACTTTACCATATATTTATTTCAAAATTAATGCTGCAATACTTTAGGCATAACGGAGGATCTTGCTAAGCCATTTGAGGTTATATATCCCCTTAAACGTGTAGTGTTCGCGTAAACGTGAGGAATCTAATTGTAGTGCCATCATTGAGACCGATCTATTTCGCAGTGTCATTATATTTATGATACTTCTCTTTATTTATTTGTACCCTATTATCACATTTTTTAATTTTGTGCTGTATGCTTTAAGAGGATTGTGAAGTATCGATACGCGGCGCGAGTGGGTAGTTACAAAAATGCTATCTGTCTCACATCGCTCGCACCGTATCGCCGTCGTGCGATAAGGAAAGTTGCAAATGTTGGAAGTATAATAATTGCCTACATTTTATTTTTAAAAAATTGTTTCGAGATATAGCTCTAAAAATTTTGTAAAAAGAAAATGTAGGCAATTATTATCGTTTTCATTCTCCTAAAGTTTTACGAAATGAGACTCATTAGATTCAGTGTACCTTAATTTAGGTCTGTACGTTTTTCCTTTTTTGTAAATTAGTTTAGTCTAATTAAAAATAATAAAAGCGTTCGAAGAAGTTTTTAAGTCTAAAATATAAATATTTAGATGCTAATAACCTATATCTTACGCAATATTTCCTTAAAATAAAAACGTACGGACCTAGTTTTTTGTAATATCTACAACTTTTCCAAAAATTATGAAAATTAGACTATGTTTATGGGATGGAAAACGTTATCGCTTTTTGTATGAAAATTAACAGCTTTACAATCCTCTTAACTGGAATAAGCGTGTTTTCTTTCTGTCTAATACACAGCTTGGTACCAAAGTAGCTAAGCGTTTGCAGCGGCTCGCGGATTTTATCTCAATATAGTACAAGTATTTATACGTCCTAGAAATATAAATTATTTCCTGATTTGGGTGACTGTTCATGTCAGATTTGTATGTATGTAAAACACCTCCATAGTAACATTTTAAATACTTTTGTTTTAGCTGAGCACTTAGAGAATCGAAAACTCAATTACCTGTGACTACCAATTGATGATTGTGATGTGACATATATCCTCGATTAAGAATCAAAATGCAGGTGCGTTGTCACCCCTGTGGACTAAGATGGAAAGCCTCGTTTGCAGTAAAAAGTGTCTCCGTTTCTTTACATTCACACTACGAAACGCGGCTGTATTAAGCTGCTATTTTACGCTAGTATTTTCTAAGAGCGTGGTCCTTCTCCGGTATAACGCAACCATAATATATCTACAGTATGGCTTTGCAAATTAATTACTATATTACAATTAATTACTATCTTTATCTAGCCACCGTGGGATCTTTGATTTAGAAAGCACAAGGGATCCGTAACAGTAAACACCTTGTTAAATTTTTACCATTTGTTAAGTTTATTACCCCTCTACGAGAAGCGGAAGTATACTAGCTTAATTGTGAATAGGGTCTCTCTAATAAAGGATAAAAATCCACGTAAAACAATATATAGCTGATGTAAGGGGGGAAGTTTGAAGTCTGTGAATATCTTTCAAATCGTCCCATTAAATCGGATTTAAAAGACCACAAATCTTAGTAAAAGTGCACCGATTCCTACCAACAATGATCCTCGAGGTTAACGAAAAAAAAAATCCTAATTACAATAGAGATGATGGCTGTGTGCTATCATCTGCTTGGGATCCCATTAATAAAACTAAATACAAACCCCAGCATACAAGACATTGTGAGTTCGTTTTGTGTATATCGCTTTCATTAACTATGACATCAGGACGTCAAATACCTCGGGGTCCCCAGTTACCATGTGCGTTGTAAAGCGTCATGAATTAAATAAGTTTTAAACTTGATGAAATCCGTAAAATTATGTTTAATCAAAATATTACCTATGTATATTCTCTACACATTTTTATTCCAGTCGTTGAAATAAAATACATACGTACATGTTTCATTCTACGATCTAAACCAGTAAGAAAGTCATCACGTCAATTTAATCCCAAAATAACGTATGACTTGTTAGATTATGTTCTACGCAATAAATAACTCGGATGAGTTGTAAAATAATTTTTACTAGAACAGTGAATGATGTGCGAGCCTTGGCATGTCGGAATGTTTGATCTTGGTGACCGATGGAGTGACACATCGGCCGACATTCTGAACTTCTTTCGTGTATCCTGATGATGAAAACTGAATTATGAATAAATAATTAAGTTTTATAGCACGTGAGGGTAATGTGGCCATCCGGTTAATATGTTCACTTTCTTATAACTCAAAACCTACAGCCTTGGCAGCATAGATGGTGCTGTCTGATACGATAGCTCTTCATCGGTCAATCAAATAATAAAGTGTCAAAATGGCGCTGCTTTATCGACACCATTTTAATAGTTGACATTATAGTAAATATTTTAGTCGATTTTGGTATGGTGTAGTGTACTCGAATTTATTTATTTTTAAGTTGATTTTTGGATGTGTTCCTAATTATTGTCAAAGCTTGCTTGTTTTCTTTCCTAATATATTAGTTATAGCATACGAATTTGTGTTTTTGTCTTTGTCCACCTCCTAGTTTTGGTTTCATAGGGCGGCAAAGCTTAACCATAATACACTCACGTACCTTAATTGGGTCATTTTTTTTAACTTAGACTAATTTTGTGGATTTTATCGCGTTCAATCTAAATGAAAAGTATAATATGTAAATTTAGTTTTAGTCAATTTGGTGGTATTCGTCTAAATTTAAGAAATCATTATGGGTGATTTATGTAGGAGTAAGGGAGCGTTATGTTCAAACATACGAGCACACAGTTCACCTGATGGTAATTGGATACTGTAGCCCATAAACACCTACATCTACCTGTTGTCAGCCATGAGGATTGAGGAGAAAGATGATAAAAATGGACCGCCTCTTTATCATACAAAGGAGGGCCTTCTCTCCTCTCGGTTGTCTTAGTCTCAAACGGAACGCTGTTATGATGCTGTTTTATGCTATGTTTTTTAAATATTACGTTCGAATCCTACGAACTCCAGGTTACTGCAAAATACAAAGAGACATTTCTCCCTCCCGATTTCTGGCCCTCTGGGGTAGTGTTTCGCCGATACAGGGACGCGCCAAAGAAGAAAGTTCTCGAAATAGTGTTATGAATGATTTATATAATATAATGAAATAGACGATATCATTATATCGATGAAATTTAATTTTTTTTCAAAGATTCTACAATCACGCATACTAGCGCTATGTATCTAATGCCCGTCTTCAAATGCAAATGCATTCTAGGTTAACGATGGAATAACGTGTACGCTGTTTGATGCAACTGTCGAAAAGTTCCAACAAGCTATTGTAAATTTTACAACCTTAAAAATAATGTTCATAATTTCTTAAATCCATTTTATGAGCTCAGAAAAGTATAATCTTGTTGTTAGGGTGGAAGGTTAAATGTGAGAGAACACGACAGCGGCTCCTAGAAATGGCAAATACTAACACAAATGTAAAGTAGAACAATTGGCAATGAACGGCCGTTCCCATGACGTCAGCGATGATCGAATCACCATTAATAGGTTTAAAGAATCTCGTTAAGAGCCCACTGCAGTTGCTATGGTGGGTGGGCGGGGAATAGCCAAACTTCTATGGTGGGCTGAGAATAGATTGCGTTCTATTAACGTTTTGTACTATGGACTCAGACCAACAAACACCAGTACTGTAATAGTTTAAGATACCCTAAATGTAAACAAAGTGAATAAAATTTAGTATTATTATTATTAAAAATAAAATAAAAAAAGATATAATATATTATATCTTTTTATTTTATTTTTTATAGACATTAAATAGATTTCGTGTGGCGCCAAAACCATGTTCAGCTTCTTGACATGCTCTCGTGTACACATCTTTCTTCTTTCTTTTTCTTTCAATCTAGACGCACACATATGCGCTCTGTTTCTTTTGTCAATATTGGTCTGTTTTTGAAAACCAGCGCTGCTTTTATTCAGGCTCTAGATAACCTACTATGCTATTCACTACACAACCATTAAGAAATTAACTAAAATAAATGACAGATGTACATAGTGACATGAGAAAATATGTAAGTTAAAGTAGAAAAGAGTTTAAATAGCCAAGAGAGAGATTTATTGTACTTGATGATATTACACGACAATAAGCATATGAACGTTTAGACCCGAAGAATTACACCTCCAAAATTTAAATGTGTTTACCCCTGAATTGTTATTAAAATTGATACTCAATACCTATTGACGAAGATATAGAATTATTTTGAAATATATGGCCAAATTAGCAGAGAAGGTTTAGAATAAGTAA